CATCTGAAATGATCAGTATATTGTTCAGCTTACCCCAAAATTACAAGAAAATATTTCTTACAAAAGGATTGTCTGAAATCAAGATTAGTATGATTCTTATTTGTCCATACTCCTTTGAAAAGGGACACGGCGTCAGTGTTACCTGATTGAAACCTTGTGTATCCATACAAAATATGCAAAATTGTGAAGCGTGCTGACAAAATGAGTTACTTTTCGGATTGGAGCCCTTTGGAAATTGATACATAACGCTTATAGGTGAAGTTTTTACAATTTATAGATACAAAATAATGAAGGCCATGTTATACTTAAGTAATAATATTATGACATCAACAGAAAATCTACAAATTTTACCCTAGTGCCGATTTTTTGGCCAATATCCTCATCTGTGGATTGCGGGAAATAACTCATTTTGTCAGAACGTCTCACTATTGTTTAAGTTTAACCTCCCTTACAAGAACATTGTATGGTTGAGAGACGGGACCTCCGAGTTTAACTTCCATCTTTGACAGAACCAAGCCTGGATTTTATCGGTCTACTTTTATGTCTCTGAGAAAGTCACTTTACACGAATTTTCCATTTATTGACCCCGTCCTTTAGGAGATGGACGTTAACTCAGAGGACCCATTTTTTATTAAATGACCCAATAATGTAAATGGGGGCGTTAAACCTGTGCCATTTCACCAGTTTCGCCTGATTTCATCTCGATGACGCCTACTATTATTTCCTTTGATTATCCTTTTCTTTGTCTTTTCTGATCTCTTCCTTTCTTTTCTCGTTCATTTACTTATCTCAGTTCATTTTCCCATCTCATTTAATATCATATCTCATTCTCTGTCTTTTCTAATCAGATCTATTCTCATCTCATGAATTGTCTTATCCAATCCATAGTCTTTTCTTACCTCTTCTGATCCTCATTCATTTTTGTTCCCATCTCATCTATTTCCTTTTCTCATCCATTTAATTTTTGTTCCTGTTGTTTGTGTTGGAGGGGAGGGGTTGCTTTTGTTCTGGGTTTTTATCTTATTTCCGTATCTCATTAATTCTTATTTATATCATTTTCTTTCCCCATGTATTCATTTTTTCCCCTTTTCCTGTCCACAGTCAGGCAGATTCATTTCCGTGCCCCTCTCACCATCTGTCAGCAAATATGAGGCAATTTTTGTGTAGCGCTGTGCTTTTGGCCGCTGTTGCCAGTCTCACGGTATGTGGAACAACACAACACTCAGATGAAGTCCTTGAGGCAGTCACATAATTATTTTTTCTTTTCGTTATTCAAAGGTCGGGGTTTTTTATGCACCCGTCGACTACATTTAGTAAATATTAGGCAATTTTGCATCAGTTGCCAGTCTCACAGTATTGGGAACAACACAACACTAAGCTGAACTCCTTGAAGTAATCGAAATAATATTTTTCAAAATTCAAATGCCGGACTTTTTACGCACCCATCGGCTAAACTTAGATTATATAGGAGGCGTCTTGCCGACCCTTCCTGCCAAAGCCCACCAGGGGTAGACAGGGATACAAGATCCCAGCGGAAAGACCGAGATACTCGAAACAAATTTTCTCCCCGCTCGGAAATATGCACTAAACAATATTGATAGGTGAACTGAAACATGTTGATATGTACACTGAATCATAATATTGATATTTGCACTAAATCATATCGATATGTGTAACAATCATATTTATATGTCGTGCACTAAATCATATCGATATGTGCAATAAATCATGTTGATATGTTCACTAAATCGTATTGATATGTGCAATAAATCATTTTGGTGTGCATACAAATATGTTGATATGTGCACCCAATCGTGTTCAATTGTACTAAACCATTTTAATGCGGACAACTAATCTCTACCCTAGAATTACAAAGTTCTACCTGCTCAGCACCTAGTTTTTGAGAAATGTTGAGTTTCCAAACATATCAAGCTTTTTACAAATGCAATTCTCAGAGTATGTATAGTAACAACGACTTCGAACAACCTTGTAATTTTGATAGTGCAGACAGACCAATATCTTTTTGTTTCTGACTATAATATGGTCTTAGTTACGAAAAACGACCAAAAATGTCAGATAGAACTTTGTAATTCTTAGGTACCTTGTTGGAGGACATAAAACTTCCATAATGCGTCAGGACAAAATAATTAATTATCTTCAGTCTCGAGTCATTTTTGGGGTATATAGTGAGTAGTTAGTGTCATCATAAAAAGTATCTCTCTTACTTGCTTTTGACGAAAAGAATAATTAAAGAAAACAAAACCAAAACAACGACAACAACAACAACAACAACAACAACAACAACAACAACAACAACAACAACAACAACGACAACAACAACGACACCAATCTATCGTGAACACAAGTCGAGATATTTTCGAATGTAGGAGGATGAGGGGGGGGGGGGGGGGTCGCCTAATGTCAGAGGTAAAATTAGACAGGAAATCGCTGCCAAAATTTGGTGCCTCTCAAATTTTGAGAATACTTAGAAACTGCAGAT